GGTCCATCAGTAGATGATAGAATTAAAAAACAGTGGTACATCTACACAATGGAATACTACACTGCTATGGAAAAGAAGAAACTCTTACCATTTGCAACAGCATGGATGGACCTGGAGAGCATTATGTTAAGCGAAATAAGCCAGTCAGAGGAAGATAAATATCACAGGATCTCACTCATTTATGGAATATAATGAACAACATAAACTGATGAACAAAAACAGATCCAGAGACAGAGAAGCATCGATCAGACCATCAAACCTCAGAAGGAAGTAGAGGAGGGTGGGGGTAAGGAGGAGAGATCAACCAACAGACTTGTATACATGCATATAAGGCTAACCAATGGACACAGACACCAGGGGGGTGAGGGCATGAGTGGGGGCACTAGGGGAATAAGGACACATATGTAATACCTTAATCAATAAAGAAAAAAATTTAAAATAAAAACTGAGGAAACCGAGTAGAGTGGGTTAACAGATGCTGCAGGAAAGTTGGGCAGAATGTGTTGCTTATCTGGAAAAGCACCAGATAAAGGGTCAGGCAACTAGAAGCCTAATCTCAACTTCAGGTTTTTAGGTTCCCGAGTAAGTCATTTTGTCATCTGTCAGTTTCCTCACCCTGACAACCCTATCATTTCTATAGAAATAAAAGATTTTAAGAAGTTAAATGATTTTCAAATGGGTTGAAAGGGAAGTTTAGAGAGGATACACCTATTTATAATTTTTAAACTAATTTTTACGAAGAAAATGGAAGATTATTTTCATAACATGAACCACAAGAAAATGTTCAGAACTCTATTATTAAATAATCCAATACTATTTGTGAAGTGAATGTATGTGATACTGTAATTGATACTATTCTTCCTATTATATTACAAATTTAAGTGTTTTCTACTTTAAGATTACTATTTTATGTTTGAATTTGCTATTGTTACATGTAGACCAAAAAGTGGCTTTTGGCTCTGAATAGCTTACTTCTGGTCAGTTTCCATTTCCTTTGTACCACATGATAAAAATGTACTCTGCATCTTTTGGCTGAAATCAGGGCTTCATCAACTATAACAATATTTAGATTATGGTCTACTAAATGGAAGCAGGAAATCAGGCACAGTTAATGACACAAAAAATTTCACCAAAGTTTCAATTACCAAGGTATAAAATGTTAGACTATTAGCTGTTAGACACCAATTTTGAGCACTTGTCCTTATGCCTCATTTTTACTTTTCCCCTCCCTTTCAGGAGCAGCTAATTATCAAGACAGTTACAAAGGAAGGGATCCATCATTAATTCTGGAAAGCTCTCAACCATAATTACTTCAAATATTTCTCCTGCTCCCCTTTCTCCTCTGGCAGTCCCACTATGCGTATGTTACACCTCTGGCACTGTAACACAGTGCTTGGATAATGTTCCACTTTTTCATTCCATAAATGACTTTTCTACATAGTTTTATTTGATGTGTTTAATCTCTGTAACTATGACAAGCTTACGGTATGTCAACATTATTTTATGTCCTAAGATTAATATAGAAATTTATTCATAATGTTAAGCATTCAAACAGAATTCAGTTTAGTAGTATACTAATCCAGTAACTGCCCAGATAGCTAATTACATCAGTCAAGTACTAACCTGGTAATTAAACATAATGGTAATTTTTTCCAAGTTTTTAACTGCTTCAAGGCAAGCTAGCAAATCATAATGGTAGTTTCCCGGGTCATGAAAACGAGTAATCACTTTCCTTTTGTCCTTAAGGGATGTGCTTCTATCGGCTTCTCCAATATCAGGAAATACAACAGTGAGGATAAGAAGCTAAGCAGTACTTAGCATAATGCACTGTGAGAGAGCAGTTAGTAACTCTTTATTCAACACAATACTAAACAAAGTACACATTTCTAAAAGTCTGAAACAAAGTTTACTGTAACTCTACTGCTATTGGAAGCTTTGAGAGCTCAGGTTAAGAATAAAAGTATGTAATACTTTCAACAATCAAGATAAATTTTTTTTAAAAAGAGTAAAGTTACTGAGAAAGAAGAAATCAATCACCCAGAGAAGCATCTTGTTCATTCTGTAAGCTTATCATATTTATGAGAAATCTGCATTTTAATATATTACTAGATCTGTACTTTAAGAGAAGGTGAAAACTATTTTTACATCTGAAGCCTGATGTAATTCATTCACTTTTAGGAAAGTCAACAAAATTTTGTATGTAAGTGAAATAATCTATTTTATTTAACAAATAATTGTGTACTGCTTCATGTAATTACTAAACAAATGTTTCAGGATATATAGTTATTAATATACTATACATATACACATATACTTAATGTATTAAAGTAATATGGTTATAAATATACCAAATAAACACACTTATAATACAAACATACATAAACATATAATCCCTGAGGAAGAAAAGCTATGTATAAATTTGTGAAAAAATTATTAAAAAGTATTTTTTTCTAAGTGATAGTTTCAAAAATAAAAAAGCTCCCATCTGTTTAAGGGATCAGGAAAAGGCTTTCCTGAAAGTATAGCATTTGAAACAGGTTTTGAAAGACAGACAAAATGTATTTTTTGTGTAGTGAGAAGGAGGGACACATCAGAAAGAGAAAAGAAATTCCAGGTAAAAAGAATGACATAGGCAGGTATAAACAGAAGTAGGAAAAACTAAGGTTTATATATATTCTTTCATGAGACTATAAATTTCATTTTATAGAGGATTAGCAGCAGTTAAATCCATTAGAGAACAAATTTAGGGCCATTTTGAGAAAAGTCTTGAATGCAAGGCTGAGGGTCATTTGTATTTAATTAGGCAATGAGGAACCACAAATAGTTTGGGGGTACAATAAAGTTTAACAGCTATATTTTAAGAATACTAAAACTGAACTGCAGTCAAATGGACCAAACCCAGCTTAGTAGAAGTACAAGATTAAACTAAAAAGCTGTTGCAATAATTCAGACAAGAAATAATAAATGACCAAATGAAGACAGTGCTAGCAGAAATACGGAGGAAAGGACTGGGCCCTAGAGATAAAGTGTGGGGGATAGACTGTGAGGCAGCTGCCAAGGATTTCTCTCTTTATTGTGCAATCTTCTCAACTTGAGTGGGAGCAGGACCTATGACCTGTTTCTAACCAACAGAGTAAGCAGAGATGAAAGGATGGTACTTCCAGGATTACATTACAGAAGACAGTTAACTTCGGTTTTGCAGTTAATTGTGATGGGCAAAGGGGAAGCAAGTTAATGAGAAATCTAAAAATTCAAACTTAGATGGCTACAGAGATGGAGATGCTATTAACAGAAGTCAGAGAGAGGGGATGGACTATTTTCTTTACAGGTTGTGCAGCAGTAACTTGATTTTGTTCATTTTGCAATTAAAATGTCTGGTCCTTCAGAAATGTTTAATACAATTTATGAGGGAAGCCAGAGCTAGAAATAAAAATATGGAAAATATTTTTATAAGACAAATAATAAATACATGCTTAGAATAATTTCAATAATAGCAAGACCCAAATAATGGTTTGGGGCAAAATGAAGTTATTAAAGAAATTTGAGGCCATTATTCTCAAGCTATATAATAAGAGAAAAATAAAGAGCATAGAAGCTGGATGCTAACGTAATTAAGGAAAGCAGGCAAGTACCCTAGATTTATAGACAAAAGAGAAAAAAAAAAGGTGAGGCAAAAATAAATTGAGATATTAACTAGAGAGGTGAGTACTGGTTCCATCTTCATCTCCATCCTTAACACTCTAAGCTACATCACCAGAGTAGCCCTGCCTAATCCAGCCTCATGGCTCTATAATCTCCTTCAACGGGCTTGGAATCAAGGGATCTAGATAGTGACCAAAAGTTATACATACAATTCCAAATAAAAGAATCTTTATTTGTTCCACTTTACTATTGCCCTCAAGGTTCATGGCATATAAAAACACCCATAAAAGAAATGCTAGGTGTCCTATAAAACTAAACCCAAGAAAGGATTTTAAGTAATCATTATCTGTCAAGCATTTTAAGTAGATAAGGATTAGCTGTTTCTAAGATGCACAGTGAACATCTAAATGGCACAATTAAAACGTTTGGTTTTTAAACTAAAAGAATTTCAGCCCTTTTTCAAGTTCTGATTGAAATCTGTGAGCAACGATAATACTTTAAAAGTTAGAATGCCAGGTAAGAAACTTTACAAGGCAACTTCCTCAATGTCTTACCTCCGAAGCAGTAGCAGCAACAGTAACACTGCTTGCCTGCCCGTTCAGTAGGTCCATGCTTCCCACAACATCAGTCCTGATGCTATGTTAACAGCACAGAAGACTGACTGCTTCACGTCCAAGGCCACAAATACATTATTATTCCTGTAAAAAAGAAACAAAATTTTAAATGTGTGTTTAGGAAACCAAATCAATGCCTATCACCATGTCAAGAAAGACATTTTTTCAACTTTACCGAATTCTTTCTTATTCAGTTAAATCACTGAAGCCACTTTGAGGACAATCCTATATGCTATTTTCACATGATCAGAAACACCAAACGGACAGTGTTCAATGCATGTTACTTTATGGTTCTTCATCATCAAAGCAGAAGTGCAATTTTTCGCTTATTGTGAGAAAAATTCAAAATTTTTTACTTTTAGGTAAATAAAGTATAAAAAAACACGTGGCAGAGTAACACATGGCCTAACAATAAATTTTTAGAGTTCTAAATGACATCCTTAAATCAACAATGAGTAAGTCTACCGTGGCTGATAATCTAGTTTACGAAGATATTACAAATAAATAAAGTATTATGGAATGTGTAATAAAAATACCAGAATATGTATTTATTTGTATAGGATATTAAAGTTTATTGAATATCTTCAATCCACTGTCTCACTTATCTTCACAACTACCAATAAGACTAATTAAGGAAGATATTAATTAGAAACAGCCTCTGAGGACAGAGGATGGTAAATGAGCAGCCAAGAATAAAATTCAAGCTATCTAAAATTCTGGTCAAATATTCTCTCCACAACACTGAATTTCTGTCCACTTCACTGGAAGTCAGAATATTTACCTGACTGAGGTAAATAATCTTTCCACAAATAGCTTCAACTATCTAGGGCAGAATTTCTTCCTCTCTGAAAATTAAAGGAGTAAATGGGCCTTACGTTTCCTTTCCAACTATAAATTTCTATGATGGTTTTCGTTCATTTTTTAATTTTATTGTTCAATTACAGTTTACATCTAGTATTATTATGTACTAGAGGCCCGGTGCATGACATTCGTGCACTGGGGGATGTGGGGGTCCCTCAGTCCAACCTGCACCCTCTCCAATCTGGGAGCCCTCAGGGGAGCCCTCTCCATCTGGGAGTTTCTGTCTGTCTTTGCAATCATATGAGTGAATTGTCTGAGACCCCCCAACCCAGTTTGGTTTGTTCCTCACAAAATAATAGAGACATTTTTTTTCTTTGCTTCATTGGTGGACATTTCCTGCAAGTTTTAGGATATCTTCCCTTTAATTTTTCCGAGACACTGATTTTACTTACATCTCTCACCTTTGCTTTCCCTCCATCCCCCATTGCAACAGTAACTTGCTCCAGGCTCACTTTGCTCTAGTGTCTAGGAGAGCCATCTGCCACCAGAACTAGGATTCCCAGCATTCCTTGGTGCTCCCCGTGCTGCTGGGAGCAACCGAGGGAGCCACATCCCCCCCCAAGCCTCCGGCTCTCCCGCTCTGCTCTCCACCCAGTGCCTGTGTATGCAAATTAACCTGCCATCTTTGTCAGGTTAATTTGCATACTCACTCCTGATGGCTGGTGAGTGTAGCAGAGGGATGGTCAATTTACATGTTTCTCTTTTATTATATAGGATTGTTTCAGGTGTCTATCTAAACCTAAGGGACTGTTCAACCATTCAACCATCCAACTGGTAGCTATGGTGTGCAATGACCATAGGGGTAGACACTCCAAGCAGTCACTATGACACGCACTGACCACCAGGAGGCAGACGCTCAACACAGGTGCTACCAAGCTACAATGACTTGGAAGCAGTGGTTCTCGGGTGACGCACCCCAAAACCAGAGAGGAGGGAGCCCGATTCCTCATGGGGCCACGTGATTCCACCTTCGGTCATAGGTTATGTTGTTGCTGGGGCACTGTTGCCCCGAATCTGGTTTACTGCACACTTGCATTTGCATTCTACACCCTGTATCACAGCAACTTTGCAGAGTGCCCTCTTGCACTTCGGGACCCCTTCGGGGATGTCAGAGAGCTGGTTTCAGCCCGATCCCCGCAGGCCAGGCCGAGGGACCCCACCTGCCAGAGGGACCCCACTCACTCCGCAGATGCCCTTCAAGCCACAGCGCCACCCCAGGTGTTGCTGGCCAGGGAGGGACCACGGGAGGTTGGCTCTAGGGCATATCTAGCCTGTCTTGCCCAGTCCCGCCCTGCCAGCCATCTTCTAATTAATTTCCTTTCAATGTGCATGAATCTGTGCACTGGGTCACCAGTATTGACTATATTCCCTATGTTGTACTTTACATCTCCATGACTGTTTTGTAACTACCAATTTGTATATCTTAAACCCTTCACCATTTTCACCTAGTCCCCCAACCTCCCTCTCCTCTGGCAACCATCAGTCTGTTCTCTGTATATGAGTCTCTTTCTGTTTAGTTTTTTAGATGCCATGTATAAGTGAAATCATATGGTATTTGTCTTTCTCTGACTGACTTATTGCAGTTAGCATAATACCCTCTAGGTCTATCCATACTGTCACAAATGGTAAGATTTTATTCTTCTTTACAGCCAAGTCATATTCCATTGTATATACGTACCATAGCTTTTTTATCCACTCATCCACTGATGGGCACTTGGGTTGCTCTCATATTTTGGCTATTGTAAATAATGCTGCAATGAACATAGGGGTAGATCTATTCTTTTGAATTAGTGTTTTGGGTTTATTTGGATATATACACAGAAGCGGAATTGCTGAGTCACAGGCAGTTCCATTTTTAATTTTTGAGGACCCTCCATCCTGTTTTCCATAGTGGCTGCACCAATGTGCATTCTCACCAACAGTGCATGGGGGTTCCCTTTTCTCCACATCCTCCCCAGCATTTGTTGTTTGCTGATTTAATGATGATAGCCATTATGATAATGTGAGGTGATACCTCATTGTGGGATCTTTTAAAAATTAATATTCACTGGAAGATATTTTTTCCATTGCTTTTAGAGAGTGGAAGTAGGGTTGGATGAAGGGAGGGAGAGGAGAGAGGGGGAGAAAGAGAGAGAGGGAAGAAGAGAGAGAGAGAGAGAGAGAGAGAGAGAGAGAGAGAGAGAGAGAGAGAGAGAGAGAGAGAGAGAGAGAGAGAGAGAGAGAGAGAGAGAGAGAGAGAGAGAGAGGTGACAAATACACATATCAATGTGAGAGATACACACTGACTGGTTGCCTGCTGCATGAGCTCCAAGGGGTCAGGGATCGAACCTGCAACCTAGGTACATGCCCCTGACGAAGAATTGAATCCTTGGGTGTGCAGACTGATGCTCTAACCACTGAGAAACACCAACCAGGGCTCATTGTGGTTTTAATTTGCATCTCTCTGATGATTAGTGACACTGAATATCTTTTTATATGTCTCTTGGCCATCTGTATGTCCTCTTTAGAGAAGTGTCTATTAAGGTCTGCCAATTTTTTAAATGGATTTTTTGAGTTTTTTTGGTGTTGAGTTGTATGATTTCTTTATAAATTTTGGATATTAACCCTTTATCAGATATATCACTGGCAAATATATTCTCCCATTCAGTTATTTATTTTTTGGTTAATCCTTACCCGAGGGTATTTTTTCCATTGATTTTTAGAGACAGAATAAGGGAGGGAGGGGGGATAAAGATGGAGGGAGAGGGAGAGGGAGTGGAAAAGGAAGGAAGGGAGAGAAGGAGATCAATCCTGCAACCCAAATATGTGCCCTTGACTGGGAATTGAACCCCTTAGGCCGAAGCTCTAACCACTGAACACAACACTGGCCAGGCCTCTCCCATTCAGTTCTCTGATGTTTTTTATAAGAGAAATGCTAAATGTCTATAAATTAGGTACTTTAAACTATGTCCACTTTAAAAAGTTTGAAATATCAGTAACAATTCTTTTGATGCTAAGTTTCCTCTCTGGAGTGCATTATGTGACAGTGATTCAGAAGCACAGACTAGAACAGACTGCCTAAGCTTGTGCACTGTTGGACTTCATGCTCACTTTCCTTACGTGCAAAACAGATCTGACAATGAGTACTTAATTCACAGAGTTGTGCTGAGGAGAATGAATTAATGTAACAGTGCTGACACAAGGTTAAGTGCAATATTATAATGATGCATATTTTGTCTACTACCTGCTTAAGCTACATAAAGCTCACATTTAATGGAGCCTTCTAATTAAAGAAGACAAAAACCTTAGAAATATGCCTCCAGCAAAATATCTGTTGGTGGACATCACCAAAAGGCTAACTGCAGACACTTAATGCTTAAAAATTATTACTAATGACAACACCCTTAGTCACATCTTAAGTTTATATTCATTTCTTTAGATATATTCTCAGTACCAGCTAAGAGCAAAACATTGTGGGATTTTTTTTAAATGAAAAGTGTATCAGAAATAATGGTTTTTAGCCCAGCCAGCATGGCTCAGTGGTTGAGCGTCGACCTATGAACCAGGAGGTCATAATCCGATTCCTGGTCAGGGCACATGCCCAGTTGTAGGCTTGGGGCATGCAGGAGGCAGCTAATCAATAATTCTCCCTTATTATTGTTTATACTTATCTCTCCCTCTCTCTTCCTCTCTGAAATCAATGAGTATATTTTTAAAAAAGAAATAATGATTTAAAACCATTTAGAAAATCAATGTGAAAATGAATAGCAGAGAAATATTTTAACTTTCTCCAATCCACAGTAATTCTTATAAGCTTTACTATCCTTAAAAATCCAAATTCTCTCTGAAGGCAACACTCAGTGTGTAATGAAATATTTTCAAATAATTTCACTTTATTCTACATTCTATGCATAAAGATTTAGATATGAATTCATGTATCAACAGTGCCCCCTAGTGTTAAGAAAAATATTTTAATGAATTAGGGAATGTATTCTTAATCTACTTTATATCAAATATATAAATTTTATTACCACTATTTACTGAAAAATAGGTAATACAGACCAAGAATTAACATTAATACAGTTGTGAACTATAATAGCAAGGCCAGAGAGATTGATCATCTATTTCTATCAAGATTCAAGTTTTCTTGACCTGCTTTTAAATAAAATGTCATTCATATTATTCCTCAAGAATTAAGGTCATATTAAAATCAATTCTGTTTTTAGTAAAAAAAAAAAAAAA